CCTTCCCTTTTGAATCATTTTGAGGACGAACCCATTTGAACGACCCCCTTCCACGTGAGTTGTAATTTCTTCCACGCCCACGATTAAAACGACCACCACGACCCCGATATGATTGATTCCCTTTCTCAGGATAGTTTACATCCTTTTTCTCCGGATTTTTTACATCCGTTGCATTCACTTCAGGGAATGTTTTGGTTCCTGCAGGCCGAGCATTGTGGTTTTTGATGAGAAGTTCATTATTCTTCTCTGCTATCATAAGCGCCACAATCAGCTCGGAAAACATTTTGTACTTGCAGTTCCTGTATTGTTCTGCAAGAACATAGTGCTCCTTATGGAATGTAAGGTAGGTTTTATTGAGCATTTCGTCTTCGCTCACTTTCTTACCACAGTATTCCAATTGAGCCACGATTCTTAACATGGTAGAATTATACTGTGCTACCTTGTTAAAATCTAGGAACCTCAAATTTGCCCATTCGTCAAGGGCATGTGGGAGAGTTATTGCTTTCTGGTTGTCAAACCTATTTTTTAAAGCTTTCCACAACTCCGCGGGGTCTTTTACATTTGCATAATCATGCATCAGATTTTCATCTAGATGCTTTCTTAGAAAAATTATCGCCTTTGCCTTTTCATTGGCAGGTGATTCATTTTTCTCTTTTATCGTCTCCAATAGATTCTGCGAATCTAAATGAAGTTCCACATCAGTGGTCCATGCTATGTAATTTGCTCCAGTGATTTGAAGAGCTTGGATCTTAAGCTTTTCAATGTTTGTCATTTGTTTTCTAAAAATAAAAACATGGAATATTATTAGAAATCTTTATTTAATTTATTTTAAAATATATTTAAAATGAACCGTTTACATTAATAATGCAAGCGATTACAAAAAGAAAAAGCGTACAAACAAGTAAACTAATGGTCAAACGAAATTCTTGCGGAGTAAAATCTACAACGCAAAGATTATAGATACACATAATAATGATTCCAAAAACAAATATTAAAAATAATCGAAACATTCTTCAAAACTTCAAAACTTCAAAATTCTTCTTCTTTTTTCGGAGAGAGTTTTTAGAGAGATGAAAAAATTTTGTTTTGATGAAATGAATGAGAAAATGAATGAATTTATAGATTGAAAAATACTATTCCTAGCCGTTGGAAAAAGTTGAATTTTTTGAAAAATTTTGAAATTTTTCTTTGAGACCGTTGGCGGAAAAAGATTTAAACAAAAAAATTAATCTGAAAAATTAGAGATCAATCAGATAAAAATTATCGATTCAGATAAAAATATTTATACAGGTGAATAAACCATAATATAAACAAATAATTCACAGTGATATTATGGTGACAAATTATCCACATAGAAACAGTAAATATATATGTGGCGGCTCAGCCGACCGGTAGCAGAAATAAATATTTTAAGCAGTGCATAAAATTAAGGCGGCTCAGCCGACCGGCAACAGAAATAAATATTTAAAGCAGTGAATAAAATTTCAGGTGGCTCAGCCAACCATTTACAGAAAATAATTAATTATGGTGCATGAAGTAACATATATATACATATATAGTTTCTTTTCTTTATTTATATAATTTTCTTTTCTCTTTTTTTTTTTTTTTTTTTCTCATATTTTTTCTTTTAGCGAGGCGACATCCCGCCCGGTATAATACCGTATTTTTTTTTCAGCGATCATAGAATGATCGTGCTGATAACGTGTTATAATAATTACTTTATTTTATGGTGTATATAAATATAAATAATGGAGAAAGAATTTATACCCTCAGAAGGATCGGGATACTGAAAATAAAAAGATGAGAGGAGGAGAGAGATTTCTTATAACTTCTTATTGTTGAAGTATCAATTGTGATTTTACAATGAACGTTTAACGTTCTATTTATAGAGAAAAAGATAAGTTACTATACACGCATAGTGACGGTAGGCTCCACACATTTTACAACAATTGCGGCTGCCTGACTTCTTTGATTGTGGCTGCCTGACTTCTTTGACATTTGTAACACATATATATTTTTTACCATATATATATCCCTTCTCTCACTCTTTTCCCTCACACTCTTCTTTCACAAAAAATTTTCTCATAACCAGATACATCTCTTCTCCCTTAGATAATAGATTCTCATACTTGGTAAGAAAAGTTTAAAAAAACAAACTTTCTATATTATTCTCTCTTTATATTTACTTTAGCTATATTCTACTAAGTGTTTTTCATTCATCTTTTACAGGTTGGTTCATCGAATTTTAACGATCCAAGGTTAAATATTTTTTAAGAATTTGTTTCATAATCACATTTTCAATGTTATCATAATTATACTCAATAAGTTCTTTCAGCAAAACTAACTTACTTAAAAAATTTTATGACAAAATTTTATAGATTCCATAAAATTGTAAGTAAACTTACGTATAGGATTTTATTGTACTAATTACTTATTTATAAGATTAATTTAATTATGTTCAAAACTTTTATTTTAACAATAACTGATTTACAAATATTACAATAAATTAGTTTACTTATTTTCATAATATAGTTACATACGTTGAATTGTTTTTTATTTATTTATACAATATTACTATAATACATATATATATATATATATATATATATATATATATATATAACATGTATATACAAACATATAACATTTATTAATATCACTATTTTTATTTGAATAATGTTTCAATATTTACAAACATATTATGTTTACTAAACATAAATATCCATAAACTAATTGAGTTTATACATCAAAAAATTTCTTTTAAAAATAAAAGAAAATAGTTAATAGATTATCAAAATATTTTTTTAAAAACTATAAAATAATTGTTGGATTTTAATGATTGTAGATATGTCATCTAATCGTTGATGGAACACAAATCCTTCCACAAGAACAGGTTCAACTCATCCCAACGAAACATCAACTCCTCCTACAGAAACAACCGCAATTAGTTTTTTCACCAATCAAATATTATTCCGTACCGCTTATTTTGTACAAACCGCACTTGTCCCGCAAATATTTTTCTCTCGCACGTACCGCAGTTGAACCGTACCGCACTATAATACCGCTTTTCCCGCACAACAAAAAACGCTGTTACCATTCGGACCCTATATCTATGTAGTTATATTTCAGATATGTTCGGGTACTTGTTCGGTTTCAGGTTCGGGTTTTCGGATTATGAAGTTTAGAACCCGTTCGGGTATTTTAAAACTTCGGGTTCAGATTCGGGTCGAGTTTTTCAGGTCGGGTTCGGTTCGGTTCTTCGGGTTCGGATATTATACCCATGCTTAGGTATATGGTTCAAGTCCTTTTCATTATAATTAATTTTTTTTTAACTTTGTTTTAAGTTGGGCCAAATTTTTTCTTTTTGCTTTAGGCATTTAATTAAGTCAGGCCAACCCTACATATGAGATGATATCGGTTCTTTATGGATGCCACTAAACTGCAGCATTTTTCTTTTAAAACTATCTACATTGGTTGCAATATTAAAACACCATCTTTTTACCTTTTAACACTCCACATAATCTTCTTTCTATTCCACATCATAATTCAATACTCACTATACATTTTTATCATATACAATAGTTTTATTTATTAAAATTACAACTCTTATCCTACCATCTTTATTTCACATTTATTTTGTGTTTTTGTTTTTAATAAATACAGATTATTAATAACAATTAAAAATCGACTAAAATATAAAATAAGTAAGAGTTGAATAATTGAAAAGGTATGGTGAAAAAAGACGGAGCTTTTTTCTGTGTCCAATCAAAATTTGACACTTATTAAAGAAAAGCACCCACAACGGATGTTGAAAACTTTTAACAACAATTTTTCCACATCATCTTCTATTTATTTTCAACATACCATTGTTAGGTATTCAATATTTGAACAAATATTTAACAGTCGAAAAATACCCTTACATTAAGTTTCTCGGGGAAAACTTCATTTAATTCCTCAAATATTTGTAATTGGTAGATTAATACCTCAACTATCGTGTGCGCACATCAATTCCCTTAATTCTTGTTGACTACACAAATTGAAACTTGAAAAAGTTAACGTCAAATAAAAAAACCTATAAGTTAACGTTGAATTTTGTTGAACTTAATTTTGCGTAGTCAATGCAAACTTGGAGAATTAATTTGCAAACATGAAAGTTTAGAATAATTTTGCAAAATTGCACATCATTTTCTTTTACATATTTAATTTTATTACAAGTGATTCCTATGAAACATTCAAGTGCTTTGTACCGATAGAAATATAAATGCTTACTGATCTAACACGAGTGTTTTCACTAAACACTTAGTCTTTTAGTTGGTAAAGCTGGCTGATGTTAGTTACCATAACCACCTCAAACTCTCATGTACTTTATATGAAAAAGCATATCTAAATAAAGCAGACTCAATGCAATGCACTTTGGTATTCATTTTAATCTTGTTCCATCAATCTCAAAATTCTCCAAAGACTCCTTTGATTCCAGGAGATTAACGAGTTCTTAGCAGCCATAGAGTATTAGCTCTTCAATAGCTCTCAGCTGTTCAAAACAATTCGGAAGTCTCACAAACGCTTTGTAGCCTTTCATATTCCTTAGAAGATGTTTTTGGAATACAAGAAGGAAATCAGGCCCCTTTAGTGCAATGCCTTCCAACTTACCATCACTTATGCAATTAATCAAGGTGAGAATTTTCAGGGAATTCAACTTCATCTAAGGCAGAGAGGAGAGGAGAGGCGAGGCTCGTGCATCCTCCCAACTTCCCATCACTTATGCAACATCGCCAAGTATGTGAAGCCTTCAACATTCCGAGTGCCTACGAAGACTGAAATATCGAACAGCTCACATGAATGACTAAGATTAACTTTACAATCAAGATAAACGAGCCTTTGTTGCTCGTTATTCATCATCTTTTAAACCAAGAGATCGACAATAGAAAGAACGTTCACTTTTTATTGCATATATTTGGATGTTGAGTATCCTACAACTGTTAGTTGATTGGAAAGACGAATGAAACCATAAACCCTTGTGGTTAAATCTGAATATAAAGGTTAAGAATCTAAACTAGTGAACATGTTATAAATTTAAGCATTGACAAAGAAACTAAATTCGTCCAGTTCGAAAACCAACCCAAATCATATCTCCTCCTTAGCCACATTGCGCTTATTTTTCTTTTGTTGAGCCTTGAGGACAAAAAGATCACTAGTTGCAGAGCTCTTCAGTACCATTGGAAATGTTGGACAACTATTTCTCTCATGTGCATGAACCTGGAGCATTCAGCTGCAATATTAATGGCTACATCACTACCAATCTTCAACATCACTACCGAGCTTTGTATAGCGTAGAATAAATGTAGGTCGAAATACTAGTGATTCAAAGAATAAACTTAAATATCTACAAAAATAAGAAATGATGGTTGTGTAACAGAATGTCTCTCATGTATCCAAATCAAAGCCTTCTTATATCATCTTCTTCCTCTTTGTCAGCAACTTTAACCTTCTTCTTAACCCGATCTTCAAAACCACCCGCCGATTCTTTCCTCCGCTTATTTATACTCAAAGTACAAAGCAAGCTCTTCTCTTTGTCAACATCACTCCGAGAATGTGTCATCTCAATTCCTCTAGAACCCTGATTTCCCTTACCATCCACACCGTATTCTTTCGACATAGACAACAAAACACCAGCACAAGTATCTTCATCACCACCAACATCACACACATTCTCCTTCTCATCCCAACAAGGAAACTCCCTATACTGAAACCTAAACTTCTTAGGCACATAACCAGAACACTTCCAAAGCTGCCGACTAAAAACCGACGAAACACATTCAAACAAAGCCAAATCACCACCAGGAACTCCTTGTACATGAACCCTTTCTTCAATTGGTATCTCTGAACAAGTCTTCAATACAACAGTCTCACTCTGAATAGATGAATTCTCCATTCTCAACGATTTAGTAACCGATAACTTCGACAATTCATCGTCGTTCTTTTTGATCTTACACCTGTGGCAAACAAACAAATCATCACCTTTAACATAACGAGAACACCATGTATGAACCCAAACACCACATTCATCACAATCAACCATCTCTTTACCATCATCAAAATTCACACCACAAACACAATCTACAGTCCAAGATTCATAAACCCAATCCTCGTGTGGCTTCATATCAAATTTACCCCAAAAAAAAAAAAAAACCTAAACGCCTAAATTTCTCTGATTCTTCCACAAATTTAGCAAGAAATCGCCCTAAATTTCGAAGCTTTGTCAAACCAATTCGTCTCTTCTCAACGACGATTGTAATGTTACGTGAAGGAGCTTTGAGATTCTTGATAGAGAAAAAAAGAAACGTATCTTGACGTAAATCTATGATTTCTGAACGAAGAAGACGAAGACTCACCGAAGATAGAGAGACAATTATAACGTTTATCGATTTACTACACTATGGGCCGTAATGGGCCGTAATGGGCCGTAATGGGCCGTAATGGGCCGTAATGGGCCGGTATGGGCCGGTCTTAGAAGAAAGATACTGCCCTTTTTTCTGGGACAAATCTCAAATTCTTTTTTCTTTCTATATTAGACTGTCTCAAGTCAATTAATTTTACTAATTTTAGTGACTTGAGGAAGGCAGTGTTACTCTCGTTGACACCAATAAATTGTTAATCCAAAAATTTTACTACCATTAACTTTTTACTGTATTTACTAATTTAATATTGTTTCATTTTCTTTTTAGTATTCTACCATTCAAATTTTCCTAATTTAGTAAGAACAGTTTTTAGCTTTCAATATCATCAATCATAAATAAAGTTGTTTTTAAAATGTGAAAGAGAAAATACCGAACACATTTGTTTCTCATTATGGCTACAATGCTTGCTAAACACATAATTTTTCCTTTGTCGTTGTTCTTATTCGTGCTTCATGAGTTTCCAGTCGCAAACGCGATGCTTGTTAAAGACATGCATGCATTTTGCAAGGAAACAAATGATGTGAACTTCTGCTTGAAATACATTGGTACAGACAAGCGTATATTAGCAGCACGCGACCTCAACGACGTTCTTTTAATCGCGGTAACGTTAGATAATTAGTTTGTAATTACTTTAATTATAATGAATTAGTTATTTATCTGATAAAATAAAGTGTATGGTTAGAATACAATGTTGAACAAAGATTCATAATATCCATTCTCCATTGAGATTCGAGTTTTTTTTTTATAGAAACCATACAAAAGAATGAACACAATAAAAATGAAGATCGATAATAAAAATTTGAGACATGGGAATCTGCTTTATTTTAATCTCACTCATTAAAATTTATTATCAGTTTTCTCAGTGCAAAATCCAAGTGACCAACGCAGCCAAACAAATCAACAAAGTCCGCCAAAAGTTTAGTGGTCCAATTGGAAAAGAACGGATCAACTTTTGTGAGAGAAACTACGGTTTAGCGTCCACTATGTTCCAAGAAGCTTATGAAATGGGACAACAAAAAATGCTCGCATACAGAGCTCACTTAACTGCGCAGGTTGGCTTGGACTATGTGCGCGATTGCGAAGACGAATGGAAAAAGAATGGTCCAATACAAAAGTCTCCTGTCACTTTCTATAACACAAATGTTGTAAAACTATTTTCTATTATTCGTCTTATTATTAGCAAGCTTAAGCATTAGTTGTACCAGAATTAACCAAAACTTTCATTTAGTTCAACTTTGATTAGTTATATATGTGTGGAATAAATAAGTCTTGTTTCTAGACTTGTCACTTGATGGAACCAAGGTTGAATTAAAGTACCAAAAAATTACAAGTGAATTTTTCCGGTAAGGATCTCAGATTATTTACATCGCATTAATCTATTTACATTAATTCGTGATCTTCTGTTTACGTTGGAGTTTGGAGTATGGTAAAATGTTTTCTCTTGCTGAATCTAAACAAGATGGGCCTCTTGGTATGGGCCTCAAATTATTTGAAGTGAACGGATCTTCGACGAATTTATTCATTTAACCACTTTCTTTCTTTCTTTCCTTCCTTTTAATCCTGATCGTGATCCGTCCGACACGAACAACACATACTGGTTTCGTTTGGTTCAACGTCACTCAATTTTTGTTTTTTTTTTCCATTTTTTTTTCGGTTTAAACCCAATTACCCAAGTAGTTTTTTACTTCGTGTCAAGGACACAACTCGAAGCTTATCAACCCTCTATATCTTAATCGTAATATCAAAAATATTAGTATTATCTCAATACTATTAAAAGAGAAGTACAAATGAAAATGGGTCGGATTAAAATCAGAAAATTGACCCGAAATTCTGAAATCGGATCTTTGAAAATTTTTTGGAATATAAATTCGAATTAATAATGAAAAATCGAAATAAAATCAAATATTTATGGAAATCAAATAAAATCTGATTGTACTTATGGTAACTAATAATAAAAGCATATTCCAAACAATATTATACATTAATTACGTATAATAAATTTGTTCATATATTTTTGGGACTAATTCCATAACAATCAACGTTTTTGTCATTAATTTCGCTCATTTTAGCCAATCATCATTAATTAAAAGATATTTTACTTGCTTCTAAAGATTTCTAGAAAATTTATCATAAATAACCCATCTATTTTATAAATTAAATTGATATTTTTATTTTGGTCGTGTAAATTAAATATATATTTTTATTTTGGTCGTGTAAATTAAATAGATATGAAATCCATGTAACTAATTTTAATTTAATTAGATTAAATCGAAATTATGATATTTTCATACCTATAGCTTACCAAAGAAGTTTAATTTTCAATTTATAAAGATTTCTTGAATATGATTTTAGAATTATTCAACAAGATGATAAGTATTTATTAAATTTTGTGAATCATGAAAAATAATAATTAATTTTCAATCATTATACTTCATCTTTCAATCTCTCATCTAACAAATAAGATACATATTCTATTATTACTATGTCCAAACTTCATTTTGTTGTATGACTAAATAATATTCCCATTATAACTGTCAAAGCGAGTTGATTCGTCCCGTTAAGTCCGTTTTGCGATAGACAAAAAATATTTTGACTTGTAGTTAGTCGGTCCGCACGACCCGCAGGTAGCATATATGAAATACAAACCCGTCCCGCGAATGTATGCGGATTTGCGGGATTGTCCATGGATTTTGTTTAAATAATTTTAAAGTAACCAAAATTTAAAATACTACTAAAATAAATAAATAAATCAAAATACTATTAAAAGTTTGTTTAAATTACCACATGTTGAATAAATTATAATTTTATCAATAAATACTAATATGCGGGCTGATCCGCCAACCCGCGGATGAAAACCGATTATACCTATGACCCACTGCGAATTAATCCATGTGGCCCGCTTATTTGCGGGTTTAATATATTTTCCCAAATCTGCCCTATAGTGAGATGATGTGGGCTGGACCCGTGGTTTTTGACCTATTTTGACTGCTCTAATTCCCATGAATCGTCTAATTTTATAATTTTAAAACACAAAATTCTATTTGTAAATCATAATTATTACGATGGGTATATTTATAAACAATTTTACATTTTCTCTACAATTCGTTATTATGAATATTTATAAGTATACTACACGATTCGTTCTACTAAAAAACACACACAATATTAAACGCAACATATGTAAACCAATATTCTCCCGCGGTGGACCGCGGGTCCGATCCTAGTTCTGGTACAGAAGACAAAATCTACTCGTAATTACGAAAGAAAGTATTATTTTTATTTTGGGAAAAAACCCGAAAAAACCGCCATCTATTTTTTTTTGCCCGTTTAATACCTGTGTTTTTAAATTTGGAATAAAAATACCTCATTTAATTTCGATTGCCTTTTAAAACTATCGTTTTTTAAAACTTAGTAATTTCGAACCCGACACTTAACAGTCGTTACTGGGCGTAACAGAATTATCTAACGGCGTTAAATTTTAACCGGGAAAAAACCCAAAAAAACCGCCATCTATTTTTTTGGCCGTTTAATACCTGTGTTTTAAAATTTTGAATAAAAATACCTCATTTAATTTCGATTGCCTTTTAAAACTATCGTTTTTTTAAACTTGGTAGTTTCGAATCCGAGACTTAACAGTCGTTATTGGGCGTAACAGAATTATTTAACAGCATTAAATTTTAACCCCCCGTGTTTATATAAATATATACAAACTGCTCACAACACATTACGAGAATGTCAATGTGGCTTGGTGGTAGCGTGTGTCTTTTTCTAAACCACCAGATCCGGGTTTGAATCTCAAACCTGTTTTTTTTTTTTTTCCTTTGTTCTCCACTTCGAATAACTTCCCATCAGTACAAAGTTAAGACTCGAAATGCAAACAAAAGATGAATCATAGAGCGATTTCAACAAATCGATCTAGAGCTGAGCTAATAATTCTGCAATTAGATCTACCATTGAAAAAGAACAACAACTAAATCGACATCAATCAGATCAGATCTATACATAAATGGGATGAATCACTGCAAAGTACCCATTATCAAAAAGAGATTCGAGTGAAGAACAGAAAGAGAGAGAGACCAGTTTGCATCATCGAAGATCTGAGAAGAAGAAGTCGTCGTCACCACCGGCGAAGAAGATGAAGAACACAAAAAGCAATTAATAAAAAAAAAATGAGGTTGAAGTCTTGAAGAGTCGAACCCAGCTCCTGAGGTTTACAAAACTCACATGCAACCGCCAAGCCACATTAACTATCACATAAAGTTTTGCAAAGAGATAGTATATATTTATATAAATATGTGGGATTAAAATTTAACGCTGTTAAATAATTCCGTTACGTCCAGTGACGTCTGTTAAGTTTCGAGTTCGAAATTACCAAGTTTTTAAAATAATAGTTTAAAAAGACAATCGGAATTAAATGAGGTATTTTTATTCCAAATTTAAAAACATAGGTATTAAACGGCCAAAAAAAATAGATGGCGGTTTTTTCGGATTTTTTCCCGGTTAAAATTTAACGCCGTTAAATAATTCTGTTACGCCCAGTAACGACTGTTAAGTTATCGGGTTCGAAATTACCAAGTTTTTAAAAACGATAGTTTTAAAAGGCAATCGAAATTAAATGAAGTATTTTTATTCCAAATTTAAAAACACAGGTATTAAACGGCCAAAAAAAAAATGGCAATTTTTTCGGGTTTTTTCCCTTTTTATTTTCTAACAAAAGAGAACTATTTCGGTGATACCAAATAACTTTCGAAGGAAAAGACAAAACATAAATGAGATTTGGTATTTTGGTGGTTGCTAGGAAACTAAAAGATGTGTAGTACGATTCGATTTCCGGAAAATAATAGTACAAGACAAGAGTTTGGTAGCTATTGGGCCGATAAAATAAACAATTAGGCAGCATTTTAAACCAAAGGAATAATCTAAAACCACTATTTTCAGCTTTGATTCCAAAAATACAATAATTCTCTTAAGAAGATATACAAAAATACGAAAAAAAAATAGGTAGATTTGCTAAATTTATCCCCAATAATTACAAAACTAGATACCAAATCAAAGCACATTTATTATTTCCGAACGTTTATTGGTTTGGATTAACAGATTTTCAACTCATAAAAACAGCATAAAACATAGGAATTATTAGAAGAATAAAACAAATTATAGTAATGTAAATCTAAAATAATGTAGACAAAATCAATTGATATGTCGTATTTCTTAATTATTTAGTATCTCGTACATAACTAGATATGTTACAACTACTATTGTATACATCCAGTCTTTTTTTTTTGTTGTTGTCCAAATTGTTTACATCCATTCTAAATTAATTCTCAAATATACCACATTTTATGCTTTCTTCTATAACTTCCATCAAAACCCAAAAACAATATTTAAAATACCATAAATTTTAGGTTTATGATTTATGAAGGATTTATAAAGGAGCTTTAAGCATATCTTTATAGCTGTAAAGCTGGTGATGGAACTGGTAAGTTGGTAACTGCTTCGACCACCGTACGAATATGGTGGTTACTGATTAGGCTGCAAGGTAATTTCTTATCTTTACTTGCAGTAAGAAAGGTAAATAATAATGAGTGAGAGAGTAATGGATAATTCAGAAACTTGTAATGTCATTGTCATTGTTTGTCTGCAAGTGATGCTTAGTTTAACTCATGTTTATCCGAATGGGCCATTCTACTTTTTACAATTTTGATTCTTTTAGTCTTTATCAGAAAAGAAAAGAGAATTTGATTCTTATGTGCAAATGGTTTATTTGATAATTTTTGAAAATAATAAAATATGAAGAATAATATTTAAAGAAAATAATTTGGGGGAAGAGATTCATTTGATTTAACCAAAACGCTAAAACAAGAAGGATAAAATGCTGGGGTTTTTATGAAAGATATACAATCGGTTAATCATATATGCAAAGAAATTTTTTAGTGTTTACGTGGTATTTCCACAATTTTTCTCAACCATTTTTTTTTCTTTATATAATTTTAGTATTTTTTTATTACCAAACACTTTTAATTCCAAATACTATTTATTTTTATTTTCTTACAACTAATTGCCAAACACAGATAAAAGATTTTTAATATCTAATGTTACAAAAAATTTTATTTCTAAATTTAGATATTTTGAATTTCTATTAGATTAAATGCATTGCTTTTTATAATTAGAAATTTAAACTAATTATAAATCAATACATTATATGACCAAAATTTGTTTTTAATTTTTACTTGGCATTTACACATTAATTAATATAAATATAATTAAATATATATTTAGAATTTACAGTTAATTCTAAAAAAGTTAATAAAAAAATTCAATGTGATCTGTTTTGATGTTTTATCTAAATAATAAAAAAATTTATTTCATACATTTAAAACAACAAAATAATTTTCTTATATTGTTATATTTAAATTCGAATATTAAGATTTGGCAAGTTGCTAAAATATAATCAAACTTAACAAATTTATATTGTCTCACTAATTATCTATTCATAACTTTTACACTAATTTCAAGTGTCATACTAAATAAGAGTTTGTACATCAAATGTTTCAAGTGTCATACTAATTAAGAATTTATACATCAAATGTCCCTTTACCTAGACTTATAGTACTAAATAAGAGTTTTTACTAGTCATAATATACTTGTTGCAATTAATCTTTTTCACCTTTCTTGAAAATTGAAACTGTTTGTAATATCCTCACTAGTGGAATTTTTTTTTTTTATATTTTGATAAAAGGGACTCGGCGGTTACATTGTTGACTAAGATTTTACAAATTTTCCAATCAAAGATTTTATATAGATATTTGTTATTTTCTAGTTGTTCATTGTAATTTTAAGAATACTAAGAAAAATTCATCAAAATTACATATTATATAATACTTAGGTGCGTGTTAACTAATTTAAAAGACCATATTGTTGAAATGTTGCCATAGACCTCTAAATTTGTTGGTACCAGTACCTACACATTACTAGAACCACAAACAAATAGAAACATATATTATAGAATCCACACATTACGTGAACATGTAATGCAAGATTGTCATTAGCTGATAGTCAATTTTTCTTATGTTCGTTTTGCGCATAAATCTTCAACTCGGTCTTGTTACTAGCATAGCACTAGTGTAGTTGAAAATCACATTATTGGGTTGCCGTATGATGAAAAATAAGTATTCTTAAACAACCAATTGGATTATGTTTGCTTCAAAGTTGAAAATTACAAACTATATAAACAGAAAGTAGGATTTTTAGCATGTGAACTCATGATTTCACAAGATCTCTCGTGACTTTGTTACCATCTACTACAGGAAATGAGGGTATTAATAACAGTGCAGTATAGCGTTTTTATCGTTTTTGCTATAGTTAAGTTTTAGATAGCGTTTTAGAAAAAGCAAACGCTATGATAGAATGAACGCGAAAATATTTTATAGTGGTGCTTAGTTTTTGTTTCAATGATAGCATAGATGATATTAAAAACGTTATTGTAGGGGTAACCGGGAAACTAAAAAATTTAGTGGATCAAAAATTTCTAAGTAAGAAAAAAAGAAAGAAAAAAAGCCAAAAATGATATGAAAAATTAAAAATAATATATTGAACACGAGAAATATAAACAAAATCTAAAACTTTTGGCTTTCTCTTCTCTCTTCTTTTTCTTTGAAACTCGATAGTAAACCTTCACTGCCGATCCCAATTTGTTCGTCTCTTGTTTCACTCTCACTCCACTCAGTCTCAATCCCTCTCGATCTCAAGCGTCAGTTTCATCGATCCACAAAGCCCTCTTAATAGTCACACGCATCGATCGAAAATCGAATTTGGTAATGTTGTACTTTCAATTTCAGTTAACATAATCTTCAGTAGAAGGTTCTTTTTCGTTCATACCTGGTTGTTTATTTGGTTTCGATTTTGGCTCGAATCACAAATTTGGTGTTTGATTTTGTTTGTTGTTCGCTTTCGTAGACTCTGTAGATATGGGTTCATAATTTCAATTTTGTTTTACCTCCATTGTTCCTCCTTGGTGATGTGATAAAGAGTTTGTTAAATCGTCAACGTTACAGTTTGTATTTTTTTGATGGGTTTCTTTTGAATTCTGTATAGCAGGTGTACGGTTTCTTTTGAGGCTCGTTGATGGTATAAAGGAGAAGAAGATTCAGATGATTATAGTGATGGCAATCTGATGATTATAGAGTGATGGTCTTTGACAGTCCCCCGAATCAATACGTCTTCCTTGTCAGCTTCAATTCTAATCCACAAAGTGAGTTGAATTTGCTTTAAAAGTTTATTGTATTGTAATAATTTAGATCGGGAAAAGACAGAAATTTTGGTTTTGTTGTTGATGTTCTTTAGATGGAGAATATGGTTTATTTTCTTCACAGATTTGGAGATGATTCATGAAAGGAACTCGTAAGTTGCAAGCTTTGATTTACTTCCAAGGAAATTTTCAATTAACCAACCTATGTTTTTAATAGTTCGACTAACAGACTTTAAATTGCTTCTTGAAGGTAGTGTGGAACCTGGAAGGAGGTAAATAGGTACTAACTCTTGTTATTCTTAGACTAAATCGTGCTGCAAATTTGTGTCCTATGGAGTCTAAAAGGTAAATGTATGAGTTCCTAAATGTACTGAGTTATTTAGCTTTATTGTTTAGGTAATATATATGCAGTTTACCTTTCTTATAACTTCTACAGCTTCTAATATGTGTTCCCGTTTTTTTTGTTCAATACCCTTTTAGAGAACCAGCTCTAAGATTCATAGTTTTGTTCTTACTCGTGGAAGAACTCAATCCCTTATGTTGATTACTTGAGTGGACGAAGCCTCAAAGAAACAATGCATTTGTTGGAGCTCACAGATCACAATTTGTTGTCTTTGTTAATTTTTTTTTTTTTTTGATATACCATTTATCGATTTTGATATATACGCTCTTACATTTTTTTTTGTCTTTGTAAAATAGTCAAGTTTAGATATGTATCAATAAAGAGAAAAAAAAGAATACAACAAATTTTTGTTTCTTAAGAAGAACATAAAATGGAATTAAAAATAATAATTAAACTACTACAAAACCCAAAATAATAAGAAACTTTAGTGAGTTTTTGATTTAGAATTTTAGGGTATAGATAGGGTTTAGGCCGTATAGGGTTTTGAATAGATTTTTTCTAATTCTATTAACAACAAGATTTTAATTAATTTTATGGATTTATGAAGCTTTAGTTTAAGGTTTATAAATTCACATTTTTTTTTGCAAACTATCAACGAATAAATAATAAAATTATAATAAGTTTTTCTAAATCCTAAACTCTTAGTCCCAAAACAAATTCTAAACCCTAAACTTCTAACCCTAAACCCTAAATTTCTAACCTTACATCCTCAACACTAAATTTTTAATTTTAAATTATTAAAAAATTAATATCAAACCTTATGCCAAAAAATCTAACACATAAATACTCTCAAGTAGAATTATTTTGTAAATCCTAAACTTTAAAACCTATACACTTATACTAAACTCTAAAACCAACAATTATACAATTATAATTATGTCATAAAATAATTTGAAAGTAGTTTTAGAATTTAGAATTTATTTTCATTAATTTAGAACATATTTCGAAACTAATTTACTAATTAAAAGTGAAAATAACAAAAAAAAAAATGCCAAACTTGTAAAACGCAAATAGAAAAATCTATCATTGGTTAACTCATCAAGATAAAGATCACACCGTTTTTAATATAGACCGTTGATTAGAGTGAATCCAAGGGATAAAAAATATAACCTTTCTTTATTATTTCATTGGCTAAGCCACTAAAGTAGGGATCACATTATTTCTAATATGAACCGTTGATTAAAATGAATCTAACGGACACCATTTAATATATTTTTTATTCTTTTCTTTTCACTTTTTCCCCTCATCTTCTTTTAGTCATCTCTTTCATCCAACTAGGTTTAGCCGTCAGACTTGAGAATCTGATGACGAGCGAAGCCTTACTCGGAACCAAAAACAAGGCGACCAAAAACCTCTACCGCCACGAGCCACTCCTCCGCGAGAATTCACCTGAAAAATCTCATGTCTCGATAGGCCTTCGACCAACCCACACCGTAGCCACCTTCTGGAACTCATATTTCTAAAACGCAACACAAGAGATAGATCCGCCGTAATCACCGGTGACCGGAGCAAACCTAGCCTCATTGGAAACATCAATAGGAAAACCATTCAAGCCACGGGTGAGACTTTTCACCTTCTTGTTTCCATAAATCTGATGGTTTGTTTATTAATTCCTCTTTACTTAACAAACTTGTATCCGTCTGAATGTCTAGATTAAAGTAGAATTGGTACTTTAAGTAAATGATGTGAGGTCTTAATGAGAATTTGGTGTTTGCAGGTTTTAGATTCCATCTCGTCACATGGATTAAGGTTTTGTGTGTGTTTGGATGCAGCAAAGATTTGTACACTCTAATCGATTTACAGTGGGATTTACAGTGAGATTAAGGTTTTGTGTGTGTTTGTGTGTTGTTTTTGGTTGTTGTTGCAGGTTTTAGATTCCATCTGTGCAATTCTTAAGATGATTGGGGTTTTGCACTGAACAAAATTCTGCAATACGTCATGGCCGATCATCATGCGGGAAGAGGGTCAAGGATGATAGTGCCATTTTCTTTGAAAACCTGAAGGATCACATGATGAAGTTTCTATTCATCTATTAATCTCTCTTTACTTTTACTTTTTAATTTTGTCTTTTTACTTTGTAATATAATTTTTTGTGTAATGATTTCATATAATAATAAAATATGATATTTTTAATATGTCAATTTATCCAAAAAAAAACTGATCAATTAAAAATAATTAAAAAGATTAATAAACCGATATAATGTATAAATACACAAATACTGCATGAATATAATCTTGTATTTATGTATAATGCTATAATAAATAATAATAAACATAACACTCTCCAAAACGTTGTTAATAATATTACTAATAACATAATAAATATGCTATTATATTATATTTAATTGCATTCAATTAAGCGCTATTGTATAGAACAATAAAATAACATTACGAAAAAGCGCTATCTAAAGTGTCTGACCTATTATGACGGGTGCAGAAATAACGCTTGTCAAAACGCTATAAAATCGTTAGATAGCGTTATTCGGATGCTACGAAAACCTATTTTTCTTGTAGTGATCGAAGTTAAGTTTCCAATCTTCGATGTTATTGTACGAGAAAATATCAAAATGGAAATATTCGGCGATCGGTAGAAGCACAAAATCTGATAGAGACAAATTATTCCACCTTAAAATAATGTGCTCAGTTCCGAAATCGTGAATCATTTGTGTGTCGAGTTGGTCACAGTTTGTGCTACAACTAAAAACGTAAAATATATTAAAAAGAAGAAGCAAATAATCATTTTCAAAACATATTTAAATATCTCCATTTCTTAAAAAAAGAATTAATTTTAATTTAAACATATAGATTTTGTTAAAGTAACTAAAACTTTTGCAATAGACTTTATGATCAATTGATCATCGATGGTAATTATTTAAGAAAACATATTATACACCCAAAGAAAACTATGCATTCGTTTTGTGCCATGTGTTGTTTTAGTAGTCGTGATTCTCCATATCATTCATTACGTTAATCCCAACTCTCAACTAGTATTATTTTGTTATTTGTTTACTAGAGTGGAAACTTGTAGATTACTTATATCAAGGTTGATTAAAATGTAATTAACATTTGTATATTTCTATAAAAAAAGTCTCTTCATATATGGTTTGGTTAATGAGTGATGAACAAGAAAAAAATAAAAATAAGTATATATTTTCTGGAAAATGATTTTTTTTGGATAATTATTAAGAGTCGTAGATTCAGGTTTGCTATGATATAGCTCTGTCCGAAAACTGCAGAGCGTGATCTTCTCTCTGTAGTACGACCGATTTTTCTACTTTACCCGATCGTTTTAACTTTTTCACCACGGTAAAAAAATTAAACTCAGATTTGGGCTTTTTAATCTGTGCCATTTCTCAACGAACCTCGCTAATCTTTCTCATCTAATCAAAAATTTAATTACCATTAATCCTTTGGCTAATTACTCTTTTGTCCTCTTCTTCTTCTTCTCTCTTCTCTTTCTTGGTGGCTCTCTTCTTATAGCCACTGTTCCCTATTCATTGTATTCCTCAAATCTCTTTACTTGATCGTTGGTTCTCTCAAAAATCAGATTTTTATTTCTGGGTTTTGTTCGAAATTTTCTGATCATGGCGGTCATTGAGAGCGTCGGAGCTAATACTACGGTGGAAGCTGGTGGTTTGATCTCGCCGTCGCCGCCGTCTTCCGTCACCAGTCAAGAATCAGGAGTCTCTTCTAACAACGATCACGGTGGAAATGAAATCCACGGTGAGATCGGAGTCCACGTGGCGAGATCCGACGGTGATGAGAGTTTTAAGCGTGATATGAGAGAGCTTCATGAGCTCTTGTCTAAGCTTAATCCCATGGCTAAAGAGTTTGTTCCTCCTTCACTCACTAAGCCAGTTGTTAATGGTTTTAACGGTGGTTTCTTCGCCGTTAATAATGGCTTTGGTGCTGCCGGGAATTTCCCCGTTAACGAAGACGGTGGTTTTCGCCGTGTAAGAACAAGTCTCTTCTCTGTGATATTTGAAATTATTCTTTAGGGTTTTTGATGATTTTTCATTTTCATTTCTTGAAATTTTGCTTCTCTGTCTCTTTTTGTGTGTTTATGATTTGAAAAATGTCACCTTTTTATGTCTTTGAAACAGAAGAAGTCGTTTGGACAACAAGGGAAAAGGAGAATGAATCCTAGGACAAGTTTGGCTCAGCGTGAAGAGATCATTCGAAGAACTGTCTATGTGTCTGATATTGACCAACAGGTTTTAAAAGTCTCCACCTTTCTTTAGTGGGTTCTTCTTAGGCTTTAGTGTATTCTCACTTATACTAAACTTATTCTTGGGTTTAAGGTCACTGAGGAGCAGCTTGCTGGTTTGTTTATCGGCTTTGGACAGGTTTAAGCAACTTCTAAAAGTTAATCTTTGTTTGTGGTGTGTTATGGTGTTGACTATATTTGGTTTATTTAGGTTGTTGACTGTCGTATATGTGGTGATCCCAACTCAGTACTTAGGTTTGCTTTCATTGAGTTCACTGATGAAGGTATCATTAGTTTCTAATTGTAATCTGTTTCTTGGATAATGACTTTAAATGGTTGGTTTATGGTTTTGTTAATTTGGGACTTGTAGTGGGTGCAAGGGCTGCGCTGAGTTTGTCTGGGACGATGCTGGGATTCTATCCTGTGAAGGTTATGCCGTCTAAGACAGCTATTGCACCGGTTAACCCGACATTCTTGCCAAGGGTGAGAACTTTTCTTGTGTTTCATCGCATTATGAGTGCAAAGTTGTGGTTTTTAGACTCAAGATGCTGATTTCTAGTCCGTTTTTTTTTGTTCTTAGACTGAAGATGAGCGTGAGATGTGTGCGAGAACTATCTACTGCACTAACATCGACAAGAAGGTGACTGTCTCTTGAATTGGTTATCTTCGCTGAGCTATTTTTAAAAAAGTTGCTAACTTTGGTTAGTTTCACATTTCAACAGCTCACTCAAGCAGACATAAAACTCTTTTTTGAGTCTGTGTGTGGAGAGGTGTACCGTCTGAGGCTGCTGGGCGATTATCATCATCCAACTCGCATCGGTTTCGTGGAGTTTGTCATGGTAGGCAGATATTTCTGTTATCTCTCTTTTTTCCAACCTTCTATTGTCAACTATAAAGCTTAGGCATTTTCATTAGTTGAGTATGATTTTTATCAAAAAAAACTTGTTGAAAAGCACATCTTTATACGGTTGTATCGGTAGGTTAAGCTTCAAAGTCTTAATCTTTTCACTCTTCCGCAGGCTGAAAGCGCGATAGCTGCTCTCAACTGCAGTGGCGTCCTTCTTGGCTCTTTACCGATAAGGTCCAAGAACAAACCAATTCTTAATCTTTAACACGCTCTCTAAATGGATCATGAATCTGAACATTTATCGTATTTTGGTGATTGGATTTTACAGGGTGAGTCCGTCAAAGACACCTGTTCGTTCCCGTGCTGTCCCGCGACATCAAATGCATTAACCGTAGTAGCTACAAGTTTTATAAATATTTCTGCTCCTCACAGACATGTAAAGAATGTTTGTCTGAAACTTCTGGTTCTTTTGTTTTCCCTTATGTAATGCTAGAAGCTTGATGATGCTTCTGTTGCCTTTTGCTTTTGGGTAAATCTCTTAGGGAGAGGTTTTTTCTATTTGGGTTCTTACGTTTAGAAGTTACACAGAGCAGAAGAGTATAAAAGACTGAGAGAGGCTTTTGAAGATTGTCTCTGTTTTTAGTTATTTATACTCTCTTACCCCTGAAGTTATTAGAAACTTGCTTTTGTGCTTAAATGTTTCGACTCTTTAGAGTTAAAAACATTTACTTATCGTCCTTCTTTGTTATCGTCCTTCTTTTTTTTTCTTTGTTTTTCTCGAGAAAAATGGTAGGTGGATACATAAAAGTCTGTGTTATTAGTTGAACAAGTCAAATTCTGTTTTCATTTTAAATTTTTGGAAACGTGAATCATGTTTGTCACAAGAATATATAATTTAAAATTATCAGAAACATTTAACAAAATTTAAAAAAAAATTGAAGAATCTTAAGAATTTAAATCCTATTATTTATATTAGATTTATAATTTATGCTCAAAGTTTTTCTGTTTTCATGTTAACGTCGGGAATCAAAAGTCGTCCCAAAAATATCAATAATATAATTATTATAAATTATTATAAACAATTTTGAATTTAATAAGAAAAAATGAGGAATCTAGAAAGGTGTTATTGGTTTATTAATTTGTAAATCCATATAGAATTTGGAAATCTCTATTAATTATGAAATCAAGATATATGGATTTTGAAATAACATGTGTTTACCCATGGATTTGAATCCTTCTATTTTTCTCTTTTAATTCCATACAAATCCATTTAAAACATAATTTGGATTCTCAAATCCAAAAACAAATTACTAAACGAATAATATAGGAATTTAACTAGTATTTATAAATCATAGAACCAATAACACATGATTTTAATTAGGATTTTAAAATCAATGATTGAATAACAAATGATTTTTGTTTGGATTTCTAATTCTTTATAAATCCATGAACCAATAACCCCTCTACCTTAAAGTTTTAGATATTTCCCAAATGTATAGTCTGTGTTCAAGTCAACTCAAAACAAAATCAAATTTCTATTTTCAAAAATATTTAAATTAGAATTATCAAAACATTTTAACATTTTGACTGAAAATAAAGAAAGGAATCTCTGGAAACTTTTTAATTTACCCTGAATATTGTACTCCCTCCGTTTCGTTTTAGTTGTCGTTTAAGGTTTTTTCACACAAATTAAGAAAAGCATTAAATTTTCTGTTTTACTCTTTGTTAATATATTTTATAAAAAATTTCATTGCCAAAACATTAAAACAGTAGGGATAAAACTGAAATTTTCACCAAACATTTGCATTGAAAACCTAAAACGACAACTATTATGAAACAAAATTTAAATCCTAAAACGACAACTAAATTGAAACGGAGGGAATATCTTTTAAAGTGTTAACTTTCATCAGCAAACACATTAATATCAGTCAAATGTTGATTTGGTCAATGTAAGAAATTTTAATTATCAAACAAGACAACTTGGTCAGAATTGCAGTATTAATCGAATGGTTAATAAAACTTATAAAAAGGATAATATTGTAATCTGCAAAGTATCACACGTCAAGCGTGTGTGGCGGCTAGTTGCACTTACACCAGTACTTGATCCTTCTCTGCGCTTTTCGAGAGCTTTGCACCTTTGGTACTTTCCAAAACACACAAAAAAACAAAAGGTCAAAATTGTGGTAATGATAGTTTTGTAATTATATTACAATTCAAACGATTAATAACTTGAGGAAATAAGTAATAAGAGAGAGAATGATATAATATTAAATGGGAAAAAATGTCGTTTTATCTCCCAACTTTCAAAAAATGGCCAATCAATACGTTAACTTCATATGTGGCCATTTAAAACATGAAATAAACGTTGACTAACGTTTGAGACATGGAAATTCGTTGACCAGACCAAAATAGACATGCCGTTATCAGTCGTTACCGGAACCTCTAACGCCCGTTATCACCCGTAACGACTCTGTTAATCAAATTTCAAATTGTGGCCATTTTAAACATCAACTTCATATGTGGCCATTCAAAACATGAACTAATCGTTGACTAACATTTGAAACATTAGAATTCATTGACCAGGCCAAAATAGACATGTCGTCATCATTCGGTAACAGAACCTATAACATCCGTTATCACCCGAAGTTTTAAAATACCCGTTAACGACTCTGTTAATATGTCCAAAACGGCGTCGTTTTGAAAATAATCGAGAGAAAATCAGGACAAATTTTTTGTTTAAAGCATAATCCAAGGACATGGTTTGATATAGAGACAATCGTAGAGCCAGTAATTGGAAGCAAGCATCGTTTATATATTTGTTTTAAATCTAAAAAGGAATCATGGAAGCAAACTTGTAGACCCATCATATGACTAAATTAGGCATGGACGTTCGGATATTCGGGTCGGGTTCGGGTCGGGTTTTTCGGGTTTGGGTTTTTCGGGTTTAGAAAACTAAGATCCGTTCGGATATTTTAAAACTTCTGATTCAGGTCGTATCCAGATCGGGTATTTCGGGTTCGGATTCGGGCTTACCCAAAGTATCCAAATATTAGAAATTTTGTATCCGATTCTATGCCAAGTATTGAAAAATACTCAAAAAATCTATAAAACCCATGTATTTTAATCCGAATCTAACCCAAAGTAGCTAAAACACTCGAAAATATCTTAACATCCGAATAATTTTGGCACTTAGGTTATTACAAGTATAAATATTACTAATATATTATAACTATGTACTTATATTTTGGGTATGTTCGGTACTTGTTCGGGTTCGAGTTCGGGTCGGATTCGGGTTCGGGTTTTCGGGGTTGTGAAGTTTAGAATCCGTTCGGGTATTTTAAAACTTCGGGTGATAACGGATGTTATAGGTTCTGTTAACGAATGATGACGACATGTCTATTTTGGCCTGGTCAACGAATTCAAATGTTTCAAATGTTAGTCAACGATTAGTTCATGTTTTGAATGACCACATATGAAGTTGATGTTTAAAATGGCCACAATTTGAAAGTTGATTAACAGAGTCGTTATCGGGTGATAAAGGGCGTTAGAGGTTTCGTTAACGACTGATAACAGCATGTCTATTTTGGCCTGGTCAACGAATTTCCATGTCTCAAACGTTAGTCAACGTTTATTTCATGTTTTAAATGGCCACATATGAAATTGACGTATTGATTGGCCACTTTTTGAAAGTTGGGAGATAAAACGATATTTTTCCCATATTAAATGTGTGCGTTTAACAAAACGATCGTTGCATTCGTATGTTGAGTTCTTCTTCCCCTAATAAGCGGAATTTTTCGATCTTCTCGATGGAACTCAGTTAAACAATGAAATATAATGATCAAGATCATCACAAGATCCAAAATAACATAAATATGTTCAATTTTAATTACCAACATAAAGAATATAAATCAAACTCAGCTACAAATTTGAGCTATTAATACAAGCAACTGGAAATTAAAACCCTAAAAATTTTGGAATTTTTTAACACCATTGGTTTTCAAAAACTAATTTTAAGGTTTTGTCTAATTTGTGAGATAATAAATCAACTCAATAATAGTAAGGTTGTTGATCAAAAAAATAAAAATAGTAAGGTTTTCAAAAAGTAGGGTTTTCAGGTTTCATTAATTTATTTTGTAGTTTTAAGATTAAAATAAATTAACGATTTTATTAACAAAAAAAAAATCAAATTCAATATTTTCCCCTACAATTTGTTTAATAGTTTCAAAATTTGTTAAGGCAAATAATAGTATGAGTACTTCTTTACGAAATATAAAACTACATGTATTTTTTTGCAATTTTCCAAAATTAAACACACTATTGTTTATTTCATTTTGTTACCTAAACAAATAGTGATTAACAATACATAAAGAGAAACAATATAAAAATTAGACCAAATAATCAATTACCTCACAAAATGTTTGGTATAGTAATGGACGACTGAAGATGGTGATCCATCTAAGGATTGTTCGCTAATGAAGTTCCCACATCAGATAGAGATCAACATCTTCACACTTCACAGGGAAGTGTAAAGGTTGGTGGCACTATTCAAGAACAAAACAGTATATTAAACAAACAACAAAGATAATAACAAAAAGTAAAACAAAAATCTTACCAGTAAAAATGTGTTTCTTCTGCAAAGCAAACAATTCATGTTTGCTATGTTATGTTCAATACGAAACTGAAAAAGAATTATCACATGCGTAGCAATCTATGATATACAGAGATGTACACATTTTTATTCGTACATCTAATATAGTGTACATTGACTATAAAAATAAAATATGTATATTGTTGTACATCTGTACATTAAATGTGTTGTATAAATCATATTATGTAGTTATTTCTATCTAAAATATTAAATTTAATTTCAATGGCATAATCGTAACTAACATGTTTTGTTGAAGGCTTGAAAATCACCAAACAGTAGCAAATATTAAAAAGTGGGTATTTATCTAATTTAAATAATAAACTAGGAAGTTTTCTAATTATGTTTTAAAAATTGACTATTTTTTTTAACTTATCTCTTTAGTTACCAACATAAAGAAGATAAATCAGAAAAACTACAAACTTTCTCTGAAAATATAAGTACCCTCTAGCCGCAACTTTTCGCATTCTTTTTTTCTTGAAAAAAGCTCGACATTACAACGGTTTTGTTTCTGACTGGATTAAGAAGCACCCATGACCCTATAAGTTTCTCACAAACGCCAAGGGCCTATATGATGATGGCAAAGATCTATTAGAGCATGAATACATGATCACACTTGTTATGATGTCGAACAACGACATTTACAACTTTGTTATCAAGACATTCAAGAACAAAGCAAAAGATTACCTTATTGGTGGAGAATATTTTTCAAGTCAAAGCTTTTCTGATTTCATATTTCTTACTACATATGATATATTTAGTACTACCACTCTACTTTTGAGCAACATTACTTGCATCTTTCGGTTTATATCAATTATAATATGTACTCTAACTATTGATCATTTATAGAATAATGAAAATTTCTCTCTACTGAAAAAAAAAAGAAGAACATAAATCAGAAAAAGTAGAAAAACTCAGCTAGAAATTTGATCTATTAATACAAGCAATTTGAAATCTAAACACTAAAATATTTTGGAATTTTTTTGCACCATTGGTTTTCAAAAATCAATTTTAAGGTTTTGTCTAACTTGTGAGATAATAAATCAACTCAATAATAGTAAGGTTGGTGTTCAAAAAAGGTTTTCAAAAAGT